ACGAAGATCAGAGAGACATTGGAGAGACTCGAGGTGTCGTGAGGAGGGCACGAGCAGTCCCAGTTCTCGCCCTCAAGGGTCACGACGAACCATGTACCTTTCTCCAGTGACAGAATCTCAGTGTCTGCTGTCACCTTCCCGAGCCAGCAGACAGATGAGGACAGGAGGGAGGCCTCCGTGTATCCCTTCTATTCTTCACAGGCTGAATTCTTGGGGGCCCCCATAGCCAACTTGGCCCCCTGACCTGGAGGAAGAGCTAAAATGACTTTCACAGAAAACTCATGTCTTGGAACCTGAAAAATGTTGTTAAGAGTCTTTAACAAAGTAAAATGAACGCCACTGAGAATGTCCCATTTTAATGAACAAGTCTGTGACTGTGTGAAGTGAGCCCTTCATCTTCAGGAGACGTGTGGGAGACCCTGGTGGCAAGAGAGAATTCGATGTGTTCCTAGGAAGGCACCGTGGACTCATTTTTCGGTGCTGGTGGCGTGTCGGAGACTGGCTGGGCGAGGCGGCTTTCTCTCTGAGACTCTGGAAGATGCCGGTGCTCCCCTCACTCACTGCCACGCCGTCTTGCCCGACCGCTTCCCTCTGGGCGTGGGAGGGAGCTGGGCCAGCGGCAGAGCGCGGCGGGGGCGGGACAGCAGCCCGCAGAAGATGGCTGTTCGGGGGCCCACGATGGGCAGGCGGTGGCGAAAGCTCTCTGGGGTGCAGGGCAAGAAGGAAGGACAGGGGCTGCTTAGATTCTATTTTTACAGAAACTCAAAATAACCAAGGGCCACCAAAGATCTCTTCAACCCTCCGAAACAGATTCAAAATGAGCCTAAGGACTCCCTTTAATAGAACCGTCTGGTCCCCCACAACCTGTAGGCTTCAGAGACCTGGTCAGAGGCCAGGAAGGAGTGCCTAGAAACCCAACTCGAGGAGGAGGAGACGCGGCGAATTAAATGAAAAACGAAGATAAAATGGGTCTGGATGTGTAATGTGAGTCCAGGGGAGAGAGGACACAATTCTCGGGGGGCTCTCTGGGGACCCATGTGTGGTTCTGCTCATCAAACAAACACGGTCTGACCGAAAGGCCGCGGGGGGGAGCCCCCCATTTCAAAGTGCACTTCCAAGGGAACCTACATTTTATGAAGCAGTTTGTTTGGGGATTCCTTAAAATCCTTACCACCCTGACCTCCTTGTCGAATATGAATTCACTGTCAAAATGTTAACATTCGACGTTGCCAAAAGACGTGTGGCTGAAAGGAGAGTAAGTCAGCGTGTGAATGACATCTGCCCATGGCAGCTGCTGAGGGACAAGGGGAATCAGGGACTGAGTGCTCTGGAACGAGCTCCTCACTCCGGGCGGATGAGAGCTAAGACACGTCCCGAGATGGCACACCTGGGACCCAGTTCAGTCTCCTCCCTGCAACGAAGACTCCACGGGGGCCCAGGGTCACAGCCGCATCACACCCTGCGCCAGGTGGCGGGCGCCTCGACCCACGTTCACCACAAAAGCCTGCGGCTGTCACGGAACTCTGGACTCAAGGCCAGAGTCAGGAGAGATGACCTGGGAGAAATCCCGCCCCCCATCACTAATTATCAATAATAGATGAAGTTTAGCTGAATCCGGAAACAAGGCGGGAAAACGCAGCTGTAATCCATAACAGGAGTTACATCATCCTCAGCGGCCTCGTTTGCGGGATGAGTCAGCCACTGGGTCTCTGCAGTGCAGCCACGGGCGGGTGGCCTGGGCAGCAATAAGCGGCTGCGCTGCGCGGGGGACACGTCCCAGAAATCAGTGGGCATGGGGGCGGGCGTGTCAGCGTTTTTCTGGGCGGATCAAAGGTGGAGGCTGCTGGCACCGACTCCGGTGCTCTGGGAGGTGGGAGGCGAAACGCTTCACTGGGAACCGGGAGGCCCAGGCCGGTTAGATAATTCGGCCACGCTGGTCTGGGGCTGAGGCCAGGCCCCTTCGCTCCTGGGCTCGGGGTTTTTCCACACCCTCAGAGAACACAATCAATGGCAAAGCTTGCTCAGGAACCTCAGGACCACAGTCCGCAGCGGCTCTACCAGGCTCCCGCGCCAAGCCAGCGCCACCAGCACTGTCTCCTCCTCCCACCTCTGAGGTGCCCGCCCTCGGATGGACTCTGCAGGCAAGAAGCAGGTCCGTCCAGAACACACTGTGCTGCTGATCCCGTGCACACCCAGGCGAGCTCTACAGTGGCCACTGAAATACACTCCCAGGGTCATTAAGTCAATGAGAGGCCTCTTATCACAGTGTCCTTGCAGAGCCGGAAAATAAACATTCGTGCCGAGAGAGAGAGAGAGAGAGAGAGAGAGAGAGAGAGAGTGTGTGTGTGTGTGTGTGTGTGTGTGTGATTCCTGAAAAAACCCAGGTCCAAGGGAAACTCCGGACTGGACAGCAGCTACAGAGCACCCTGAAACAAAGGCGGGTGCCCGTCACCCCGAGTTCTCTCGGCTTCAAGAGAATGAGGTGGCTGCCGGCCGGAACACAACGGGGGCTCTCCCGGAGAGGGTGTCTTTAGCTCATGGCCCCTCTGTCCATTTGGCTAAACGAGCGCCACGAGCCAGGCCACAGTGACCGGACCTGCAGCCTTTCACTCGGCAGAGTGGTATCTCCAAGCCTCAGCCAGTGCTCAAGTCCCTGGGCCCCCCTGGGGGACCCCTTCAAGACGCCCCTTCTAGGCTCAGGTTTCCTTCCTGATGCCTGGTCCGTTCAGCCCTGGCTCCGGGTCCTCTGGCGCCTCCCAGGGCAGAGGCTCCATGTCCCCATCTGTGTGAAGAACGTGACTGTGATCTCCTCACTGTGCCTCCCAGTGAAGGAAAAACTGAAGTGACTGCAGTTGATGTGGGAGCAAAGGAGACGATGGACAGAGTCTGTAAAGTGACCACCCGGGTGGCACGGAACCCTTGGGCTCTGTCACCCAGAAAAATGACCCACTCCGCCCTCACCAGCCCGGTGTCGCTTCTCTCGAAGGTGAGACTTAGGTCCATGTGGAAGCTAGAGACGGGGCCACCACCCCGTGTTCTGTCACAGCAAGTGAATGTGAGCACAGTACTGCGCAGCCTCTGGGAGAGGGCGGGTGTGTTGGGAAGCTGGTGGGACAGAAGGTTCACGGCCTTGGTGAGGGCCTTCCAGGTCCGGATGCAGCCCCCTTCCTGCCCTGCTTGGTACTAGCCCCCAGGACCGCCTGCGAAGGGAATTATTTGCTTTGTGCCCCATGTTAATGAAAATTCTTCAGCACGTGGATCATGGGGCTCTTTAAAAAGAATGGTGCAGAAGCACATGGTAGGCAGAGGCCCAGGAAGGAAGGGGACGTGGATAAAAGCAAGTGAGGCCCAAAGAGGGGACAGGTAGGACTGCAGTGCAGGGAGGGCTGTGGACCAATCAGAACAAGCAAGAAGCAGTATGTGAAAAAGCAACGGGTAGAGACCCCCAGTAGCCAAATCAGTCCTGAGAAAAAGGTGCCGAGCTGGATGCATCATGCTCCCTGACTTCAAATTTACCACGAGATACAGTAATCAAAACAGTATGGCACTGGCAGAAAAAGAGATGCACCAGGCCAATGGAACAAAATCGGGATCCCAGAAATAAACCCACATGTATACGGGTAACTCATTTTCAACGAAGGGGCAGAAAAACATACAACGGAGAATAAAAGGCCTCTTCAATAAATGGTGCCAGGAAAATTGGAAAGCTGAATGCCAAACGATGAAATCAGACCACTGACACCATCTACAGAAAGTAACTCAAAATGGATTAAAGGCTTAAATACGAGACCTGAAACATAAAATACACAGAAGAAAACACAGGTACTAAACTTATGGACCTCGGTCTCAGAAAGTTGATTTTGAACTTAACCCAAAGGCAAGGGGAGTAAAAACAAGTAAGTGAATGGGACTATATCAAACTAAAGTGTCTGCACAGCAAAAGAAACCGTCAGTAAAACAAAAAGAGAACTAATGTAATAAGAGAAGTGATACTGCAAATGATACCTCTGATAAGAGGCTAATATTAAAAAAATACAAAGAACGCATACAACTCAACGGCAAAAGAATGAACAATCCAATTTTTTTAATGGGCAGATGACCCGAACAGACGTTTTTCACAAGAAAACAGACAATTGGCCAACAGACATTCGAAGAGATGCTCAGCTTCGCTTGATGTAAGGAACACGCAAATCGAAGCCACCATGAGACACCACCTCATGCCTTGTAGGACGACTGTTATCAATCGGAGAAGAAAGGACGGGGGTTGGAGAGGGTGGAGACACTGCTGGTGGGAGCGTAAACCGGTTCAGACACTGAGGAAGACAGCAGGGGTGCCCCTCAGAAATGGACAGTAGAGACACCTCGTGACCCAGCAACCCCTCTTCTGGTACCCGCCCCTGTGTTCACGGCAGCATTACTGACAACGGCCAAGGGATGGAATCAGCTAAAGTGCCCTTCGATGGATGGTTGGATGAGGAAGACGTGATACGTACACAGGATGGACTACTATCCAGTCACAAAAAAAGGACAAAGTGTTGCCGGTCGTGACAACATGGGTAGATTTGACGGTGTCACGCTACGTGAGATCCAGCAGAAGGAAAAGGACAAGAACCACAGTATCTCGGTCACACGTGGGGCGTAAAACAGAGAGCCACCAGTGGGCACACTCATAGGCGTAGACAGCTACCAGGGTGGTTACCAGCGGGGAAGTGGGCAGGGGACGATGAAGAAGGTGTGAGGGTCAAGTACATGGTGACGGAAGGAGACCAGACTTCGGGTGGGGGGCACACAGTGCCACGCACAGATGATGTACCACAGAATTGTGTACCTGAAGTATACATACACTGGTAGTAACCAATGTCACCCCAAGAAATATCATTTTTTAAAAAAGAGAACGGGAAGTTGCTCAGAAAATTTGGACATCTCAGGGAGTAATTTTCAATCTGCTGCTCTGGCGGCAGCATGCCTCACCCCCACACACCCCCCGAAAGAAAGCAAACCTGTTGAGCTGTCGTCCTGGGGACTCTTGGGTACAGTCTGAGCTTTCGGTGGCTGAAGATGCTTCATTCTGGTCGGGGAAAAGCAAGAAACCACGTTGGCTATTGGGCGAGGGCCCACTGGAGAGGAACGCGTCTTACAGCTTGTAAAACCGCGGGGTCTGTGCGACCCAGCACTTGCTGGCCGGGGACTGAGACGGCTCTGCAGCAGGGACCACTGGGCCCCACTCGCCAACACAAAGTCCTTTTTAGGTAAAGTGCCCAGCTTGCAAGACAGAGGAGCTGGGGCGACACAGTTCTAATTTGCTTTCGTAGGAGAGGGTGCTTTTGCTCAGAAGTCCCTGGAAAGCCCAGTCAATAGTCCGGTGTTCCATTCATAGTCCACACGGAATACTTATTAGAACTGCTTTGATTCTGACGTGACTTAAGGGCTCCTGAGAGGTACGGAGGCGGGAAAGGTCCCGGGTGTGGCGCGCATTTCCTCCTCGGCCACGCCCACCCAGGCCGCGCACCGTGGTTTCACTGCGCATGCGTCTACATCCCGGGGTCACGCAGGGAATCGTGTCGCCTACTGCTGTCCAGCGTAGAGACCTACGCCTCTCCCGCGTGACGGCTCTCCGGACGAGGACAAAGCGTCGAGATGGCCATTGGATCCCATACAGCCTTTCCGACTGGCCACACAGAAGGCCGGCTGTGTGCAACCGCCAGCCACTGCAAGGCAAGTCCATGTCGGGCCCACGTCTGGAGTTCTTAAATAAAGTACAAACCGAGTCCTTCTTGCGTGATAGTTAAGTACAGGAAAAAGTAAACTCTTGAGACCCAACAAATCAAAATTCAGACTGAACTGTATTTCCAGTAAACTGGCTCTTGATAAGAAAGCAGCAAGTGGCAACCAGACAAACTGCCGGCGGGAACTGCAGTTACTGCAAAGCAGCAGAGGAGGCCCTAGAGTCTGCACGAGCTTCTGAATTCGGTGTCATCTCCACGGAGAGGCGGTGTCTCCTCTGCCTAAGGCGTCAAAGACGTTCCCGGCGCTGTTCCTTGTCCTGTTCCCGTAAAGGCGGAAAGGACGAGGAAACCCTCTGTAGCAGCTTCAATAGCAGTTCAAGCAGGAAGGTATAAACAACGTCAGGGGGCATGGCTCCCTATCCGATTTAACCAAAAACTGAAGCCAGTCAGGAAGCCCATTCCCGTGAGCTTCCCCTAAACATGCCACTTACTGTTTCTCAGCCCACTGCCCTGCGTCCCCAAACTCATACAAGAAGAGTGACAGCCACATCCAGGTGGAAGCCTCCGACTTACTTACGACTCATGAAAGCCTCAAAGGAAGGCGTCTGATCGCCTGGGTCCTGCGTAGCCCTCGGCCGTGCCTGCGGGAGAAGGTCTGGTTGAGCACGCTGTCCAGCACTGCACTCCAATTGTCCTACAGAGTGTGCTGCCCTGGCCAACTCGAGCCGCACACCCTGGCAGAGAGACTCACGCGGCCTTTCGTGAGAGGAAGGAGCCGGGCGGGACCACCCTGCTCCCGAGGTGCGGGCTCGTTCTCCCCTGGTCATCAGAGTTTGGAATTAGACACCTCGCAATGAGGAAGCCGTCCAGTTCCAGTTGGCGGTTGCTGAGCTCGGCACAGCACTCTCCGGGCCTCAGGTTCACGGTCACTTTCTCACAGACACCCCTCCCCCCTGCACCCCTGCCCTGTGATCTCCTTGTCCCCCAGGCCTCTGCTACCGGAACATGAGTAACCTTTTGGTTGGTTCACTTGCTTACTGCCTGCTTTCCCCACAGACTTTCAGCCTCAGAGGGCAGAGGCCACGCCTCTATTTCTGCAGTTCCAGGTCCTCCAATCTGTGCCTGTTTAAGGAATACTTGTTGATCAAACCCGTGAGTGAATGAGCCCGCTTTGAAGTGCAGTTGAAAGTGCTGAGTGTGCTGGGCCCGCCTGAGTAGCTCAGTTGCTTAAAGAATCAAGCTGAGGCACCGAGGTTGCGGGTTCAATGCCCCATCGGGGCACATACAAGACACAACTAATGAATGCCTAAATAAGTGGAACGACACATTGACCTCTCTGTCTGTCTCTCTCTCAAAGAGCAATAAAACATTTTTAAAAGAAAGATGACAGTGTTAGTGTGCCCCTCGTTCAGCTACCCCTGGCGGCTCACTGCCATAGCTCTCCACAGGTGTCTCCCCCACGTTGAGTAACGGAGCCCCGGCCCAGGCCACGCAGGAACGTGGGCAATCATACCAGCCCGGGCCTATTTAGGATTTTTATATTATTGATAGTCACCTGTTTTACGCTTTTACTTGGAAAAAACACTTTTCTATTGCTCATCATTTTCTAAAATTGAGATGTAATTCACATTCCATAAAATTCACCACCTTGGTGCACCATTCTGTGGGTTTTAGTACCATATATTAGCAAAGGTGTACAACGACCACCTCCATCTGCTACCAGAACTTTCTCACGACTCCAAGAAAGGAATCCTTTCCTCAAGCATCGTCCCTCTTCCCCCAGGTCCTGAGCAACCACCATCCATGACCTGTCTCCGCGGATTCGCCTGCTCAGGACATTTCGGGTACATGGAGACAGACATTATGTGGTCTCTACTGTCCATTTCCTTTCAAAGTCCTGTAGCTTTGTGGCAAGTTGTGAAACCAAAAGTGCGATTCTTTCAATTTTGCACTTCCTCTAAAGATGGGTCGGCTATTACGCACCTCTTGCGTTTCCATATGAATTTTAAGACCTGCTTGTCAATTTCTGCAAGGAAGGCCCCTGGGGTTTCGAAAGCAACCGCACTGGGTGTGTAGGTCAGTTTGGGGCAGTATCATCATTTTAGCAATAATACGCCTTCCAATCCATGAGCATGGGAGTGTTTTTCTTTAGGTCTTTAATTTTTTTCTATCACATTTTATATATTTTGACATACAAGTCTTACCTTTCTTTTGTTACATGTATTCCTAAGTATATTAATTTTTGAGCCTATTGCGAATGGAACTGCTTTCTCAATTTTGGGGGGTGGTTCATTGCTAGTGTACGGAAATGAAACTGATGTTGTATATTGGTCTTCTGTCCTGTGACTCTGCCATACGCATTTATTAGCTGTAATAGTTTGTGTGTGGGGGGGAGGAGAGTCCGTTAGGACTTTCTATATGAAAGATCACCTCATCTGCAAATACAGTTGTACGCTTTGCTTTCCAATCTGACGCCTTTTATCCCGTGCCCATCTCCGTCACCCCCCAACCCCGCCTCACCGTTCTCATCTCCCAGCACGTGCTGCACAGCTGCCTGTTCCTGACCAGCGCGGGGTCATTCGGCTTCCTCCTGGCCTGAGGAGAGAGAGAGACAAAGAGCAGGGAGGAAGTGCTGTGGTTTCTGGGTCGGCAGAGGAGTGGGAGGGGTGGCGGGGTGGCAGAGGGGACAGTCCTTACTTCCGTGACGCAGCGATGGACACCCCGGTCCTGGCCCCATTCTGGGCGGACGTGGGATGGAGACTGGGCTGCAGCTGGGAGGTGCAGAAAGGATCCAGGCAGGAGGGGGAAGCCACAGGCCCGGTGGCGGCCTCAGGGCCCCGGTGTGCAGGCGTGTGACAGCTGGCAGAAGGGGCCAGGGCTGGACCCAGGCGTGTTCTTCCCAACTCAGCTTGCAGTCTGGGGGGTGGCCCGCTCCCCATTTCACGCAAAGGACCCGCCATGGCGACCACACTACAGACTAGGCACAGAGCTGGATTCTTCTGCCCAAATGTTTAAAATACATTCCACTGTTATAGGCCATTTTAAAAGAATCCACGCAGTATTACCACATTGTGGGTCGGCATGTTACAGGGTGAGTGCGAATGACCATATTCATTCATTCAACCACAAAGCCTTTATTGTAAGGCCACCATGCTGGGACAGGCCACAAAGATGAATGAGACCAAGTCTGTGACCCGAAGGAAGACCGGGGATGAATGCAGATTCGTGCATTTGCCCGTTCGTTAGGGCCGGGGATGGCAAGGGAAACGAGACACAGCCTCTCAGCTGTCACCACCCAGCGGCCTGTGTCTGACGCAGTGTGGAAGGCACAATGATGGGAATATACTGAGGCCACCTGGCCAGGGGTTGGGTCACAGAGGGCAGGTCTGCGAAGGCTTAGAAGCGCAGGCAGCGCTTCGCTTGGGTGGGTGTTGCGGGGAGAGCAGGAGGGGGGTGGGCACTCCAACCTAGAAGACGACCTCGGGGCCACCCCATGGAGCAGTGACCCAGCAGGCAACCCGGAGGGCTGGGCGGTCGGGATGGTCCAGCGGGAGGAGGGGCGCAGTGAGAGGAGAGGCTGGAGGGGAGAGGGAGAGGCGGGGCCCTGTGCTGGCCCCTCTGCTCGAGACCAGTTCACCGTCCACGTCTTTCCTGGGGTCCCAGGTGGTGTCTCCTCCACCCCACCTCACATTTCTGCGGCCCAAGACTCAGCTCTCCTGGAGTCCGAGATTCAAGCTTGGAGGCACTGGGGGGCACAGAAGAGGCAAGGAAACTTCTGGGCCTCAAGCAGGGAGAGAGACCAGGCTCCACTGGAGGGATCAGGAAGGGCCCAGATGTCACCACAAAAAAGTGATGTCAAGTTCGGGACTCCGCGTTTCGCAGGCCTCAGAGTCCTCCCTCCTGTCTGGCTTCCTTTCCCAGCCCTGAACTAAGGACGTGACCTTGGGCTGCATCCCCTTTTGCTCCTTGTTTCCTCCAGGCCGGCTCCACAGTGGTGGGAAGAACGGAGCGTGAAGTGGTTCAGAGCACAGGCCCAGGCTGTGTCGTCTCCAGTCCACGCCCCTGATAAAAGGGGCTCTCGAGTGTTAACAGGCTTCTGGTTTCCCAAGCAGCTGTCCCCAGGAGAGCAGGTGGCAGTGTGACAGAGTGACGGAGAGGGAGGGCAGCCTGTTGTCACCTTGCCAAGGTCTGCTGCCAATTTCAGCCAGTACCTGGAGGCCACAGCCTGCTCTCCACATTTCACAGCTGGAAACATCCTAATGTCCAAGGTCAATACCTGCCCAAGTCCCCAAGGTCTGGCTCGTGGCCCAGGCCCTCGGCCCCCTTGAATCTTTGGTAAAGAGACATAGAAATGTGTCTCTCCCCCTCTCCCTCCCTCCCCACCCCCTCTCACTCTCAGATGCACACACACACACACACACACACACACACACACACACCTGTCCACATAATATGAACTGAAAACGTAAGCACCAGATGGGGACTTTAAAAATAGCCTGATTTGAGGAGAGCTGACAAACTGGCCTCTGCACTTCTTTCCCTTTGGTGCCTCCATTCCTTTTCTCCTTTCCACCACCCTGCCTTAGCAGAGAGCGGTCGCCTGGCTCACCTCTTTCAATGAACCCAACGAGGAAACTATGGCCCCCAGAAGGTGAGGGGGTTTGTCCGATAGCACATTTGTTTCACTCGTCAGCCAGAAAGTTCTCTGTATGAAGGGTCAAGGGGGACTGTAGACTCTTGGGGTCCATATGAGGGTGCCATGATGCCCGTAACCCTCAGAATCCAAAGAGTGGAGCTCGGGGAACTATGTCCAGTATTCAAAACCAAATAAAACAACAAAAATGATTTTCAATATGCCACCCCCCCAAAAAAAAACCCCATGATAATGAAACCAGTTTCTGCTCTCTGAAAATACCAGCCATCTCCATTAAACAGAAAAGCCAAATGTATTTTTCAAAATTCTCTTAGTATTCACTAGGAAAAGCTTGAAACCTACACAAAAAAGCCCCAGCCATGCACCCGCCGTCCTGCCTGACGTGTCAAACTCGGTTATTCTTGCTGCTGAGGCTTCAGGCCGGCGGTGCTCCTTACTGCCCCCTTCCCACTTGCCTTTGAAGCTGCATATGCTGGGTCTATAGACGTGGAAGGAAGTCCTGCATGCATACAAGGTACTTTCCGTGGTGGGCACGAGTGTTTCAAAAGTGTGGGTCAGTGAGAGAAATCGCAAAGAGAGCTCCCGGTGGGGAGAGCACTGGAAATCCCCCTTCTGTGCATTTCTCAGCTGCATCTCTGTGCAATGTCACTAGCCAGGGTTTTTTGTCATGGGGCTGCTGAAAGTGAAATAAAGAATGCTCTCACCTTTACTCTGACTCACGAGGTTGGAGAATAACAGATGGAGGGGGGCGGGGCAAGAATGGAGGGGGTGGGGTGGCCTTTCTCCCTCCCTGACAGGGCGGAGGTTACAGGCAAGCCCAGCAGGTGGAAAGGGGGCGCAGGGTTCCGAGGGTAGCTCTCTGGATGCTCCCCACACATGTGCTCTGCCCGTCCTGGAGCTCGGAGGGAGCCTCCCCCCGGCCTCAATTATTAATTACATTTCCCGTCTCCGGGCACCCCGGGTGGACGCCCACGACGGGGATGCGAGGAGCCGCTCCACAGCACAGGGATGCTCAGGCTCCGTGTCCTCGTCTTGGTTTCCTTTCCTGTTTGTGGGCTCTGCCTCTTCTCTTCCGTCTCCGTTTTATTTATTTGTTTACTTATTTTTTTGGCAAGGTTTGTCTCCATGTCCCTCTGCGTGTCCCTGGGCTCTGCTCCGCGTCTTCCCATTTCTGAACCTCTGCTTCATCCCCTTCTGTCTCCGACCAGGGAACCCTGCGCCTCACACGGACACGGACAGACACCTGCACTCGCCTGGACTGCTCCCCGGCAGGGAAGCTGCCACCTCGCTGTGCATGTTCCAAGTTCTGCCCTGTGACCTGTGCCTGCGACGAGGAGGGGGCCGGGAGGCAGGACGCACGCGCGCGCGCGCGCGCGCACACACACACACACACACACACGTGCACGCGCGCGGGGGAGGTGAGGTATCTGAGCCTCCTTCCCCAGCGCAGTGATGGACGTGGACTTGGACTTCTGACCACCTGATACACTCTCTGCCCTTTGCTCCTGCCTGGAAGGCTGTTGCTCTGGGCTGCCCTCTAGTGGTCGCGAATGAGCATTGCAGCCGTAAAATTCTAAGCCCAGGCGGAGGTGGTCTACCCATCTGTGCTAGGCGTTAGCAATGCCTTCCTCCCGGACCTCCCTGGTGCCTGTGGTCTCAGTGCCTTGGGCAGCACAGCGCCCTGTGGCCCAGAGCAAACCTGGGAGGAGGGGGAGCCCAGTGGCAGGGGGAGGCTGTCTAGATGGGAAGCCCAAGGAGACTGAGTGCCTAGAAGGCTTCTTGCTGGTTCTGCCTCCTCGGCCCAGCGTGTCCCTGTTTGGCCCCTCTGTCACAGCTGCGGGCACTCTCACCTGCGTGCCTGTCCAGGCTATTAGGGGATTACTGCGGTCACCCGGAAGCTCAGCCCTGCCCCTCCGGTGCTAAGGCCAGGCCACCGTCCATCTCCCTGGTCCCTTCCACGGAAGCCTGTCTTTGAGCTCTTCAGGCAAGTCCTGCCCCTCAGTCTCCAGGCCTTGTTTCTGGTGGAAATAATCTCTTCCAGACCCAGTGAGGTGCCCCTTCCTCTGGATCCCTGCCTGGCTCCATCTCTGCTGTCCCCTCTTGCAGCCCACAGGGGACCTTTTCCCCTCCCACCTCCTCTGGGGTACTTCTCCAGCAGCTGTGTGCCTGTCTCGTCTGCCAGTCATTTGTGTAGAGGGGACTGGCTTGCTCATCCCTGCATCTGTATGAAACCAGATAAAAAGATAAAGGGGCTCTGCAAGCCCCTGTCCACAGACTCGAGGGCTGGTCACAACCTGGCCATGGCCACGGTCCCTGAGCTCTCCCCAAGACCCCCAGCCCTGACTCCAGTAGTCAGGCTTTGCCCGGTAGTTTTTCAGGCGAAGAAGCTGCCTGGGTCCCCCAGAGCTTGCTCTCTCCTCCTTTAACTCCGGAGGTGCTTACTCCACAAGCACCCTGAGTGTCAGGGGCCCTCTGCACAGCCAGTGTCCCTGAGTGTCCCCCAGCTGCCGGGCATGGTTACTTCTGGGTGGCAGAGGGGACACAAGGAGTTAATAATGTGAAACCCCATGTGTGTAGGGGCCTAGGGACTAGTGGTGGCAGGAGGGAGTGAGAGACCCAGAAATGACCTGGGGGCCAGACACACACAGGCTGAGAAGCAGCCCTAAAGGTCTCGGTGCAGATTCCCCAACAGGACTTTTTGGGTTTCCCTTCTGGCTGGTGCTCACCTCCTGCCTTTAGTCTTAGCTCTGGGGACCAGCAGCCCAAAGGCCCTGGAGACAGGGTGAGGGGCGGGGCTCATTCATATCGTTCAGCAAATGTCTACTAAACACCTACAACACAATGTCTCAGGCTCCGGCTGTGCTAAAAAGACAGGAGGTGCCTTTGGAGTCACATCCAGGTCATCCCAGATCCGTGCTATGGATTTCTGTGCAATTAAAGAAAACATTGAGTACCTGAAATGAGTCATCTGGAACTTGAAACAAACTGGGCAAATTCGTGTCCTTCTTGTATGAAATCAGGAAAGTGGCAGAGGCGTGAGGGTATCTGAGTGATGGAAACAAGAGCAAGTTAGAACCACAGTCCCCAGGGTGAAGAGCAAGGCCCGTGGCCATGTTTCAGAGAGAAGCTAAGGGACACCGGGGGAGGCCCCCCTGCACCAGTGCTGGAGGGCCTGGGCCATTTGGGGGTTCCCCAAGATGGCTCTGCCCTCACCCTGGTTCTTCTGTCTCTTTTCTTTTGGACTACCCAATGCCAGCTGTGGATGTCAGGGACAGCGTGTAGATTAAGGGAGGAAAAAATAATTGTTCATAATGCAGACGTGCCATGGATGAAATACCGCAGCTCTCCTGAAGAGACCTGAGTAGACCGGATCGCGGTTTAACTAGTGACGACCTTGGGGCCTGCCTGGCCTGTGTTCCTGGAGCCCGTGGCTCTGCCCGCAGACACAACCTGTCCACTTTTTCCCGTGGAACATTTTCTCCCTTCCACCACTTTCTCCTTGTTACTTGCTTCCCAAACGCAAGGGAATTTGTGATGCTTTTCCTAGTGACTGGCCCTCCGGCCAGTGAGGGTCATGTTGTTACATTATTGGGGGCCGAGGCAGACAGAGGCCTGGTCACCTTCCATCCACAACATGCCTGTGGACTGGCCTCTCGGCCCACGCCTCCCAGAGCAGAGGCTCCTTCCACCCCAGGGAGCAAAAATGGGGAGGAATGAGGAACCCCTGTTGTTTCCAGCAGTGGCACCGAAAAGGCTCCCTACCTATAAATCCCCCGGGGTCTGGAAAACAGAAACTTGTTCACGAGCAGCTGTTCTGGGAGGGGCAGAGTGGTGAGATCGTAGATGATCTCAAACTGACATCCGGACCCTGACTCCCCTGTGGAGGCAGGGATGTATGGTTCTAGACATCGATGGCTAAAACGTCAACAGTTCATACGAAAGCAGAGGAGAAAAGGTAGGATGATGGGGAGGAGGAAAGTGTGCTGACGGTGTCTAGGGGCAAAATTCTCTTGATTGCTGAGTGGCGGGGGCAGAAACGGAAGTTATTTGAGATCTATCTCTTCCCATCCAGCCCAGCCTACACTCCGCGCTCACTTCTGTCTGAGATTCCCAGACCAGGGCCACCTTTGGAGCATCTGATGTGGGTTTTGAAACTGACCAGACATGCCCCTCTGATAACTCCCCACCCCCTCCGCCTAAGAAATCATCTTCGTTGTGACCTTTTGTGCACCACACCCCCCAGTGGCCAAGCTGTTACCTTTTGGGGAGGCTGAGCAGTAGGGGCTTGTTTCTGAGGCTGGCGTCACTAAGCCACGGAACCTTGTCAAACTTGGGAACAGAAACCTGGAGAGAAATGGAAAAAGATCATTTGGCTGAATCCATTGTGCTTGATCATTGCGGCCACTGTGATGACCAGAGCAAGCTGATAGCAGGTAAACAGCATGGATACATTTTCCTGACTTACAGTTGACTCTTTCAAGTCTCTCATAAAGAGGCCAAGAGCAAATGTGTGGTCCCAACTGGACTGATGAAGAATTGGAAGCTCAGCCGGTTTGCCCAGCCACACACAAAACGCTAGGGAGTGGCTTCAGGTTTTCCGACTTTCGTGTTTTGTGTTCTCTTGTCCCTTTGCTTCTGGGTCTCGTGCAGCCATCTGTGCATCCTCAATTATTTTCATGCACTGCGCTCAATATTAGCACCCTGCCCTGGTCTCTGGCTGTGTCCGCCCCCCTCATCCCTTCTCCGAGGCAAAGAGGGAAGAACCACACTGAAGCTGTAGGTAGCTGGTCATCCATCTCAGTGAATCCATGTCCCAGCTGTGTGGCCTCAGACCGACCACAACCTCTCCAGCCTCAGTTTCGTGCCCCGTGGCATCACAGGGCAATGCAAGGTTCAGAAAGCTCCGAGAGAGCGGGGATGTTGCTTGTTTCGTCCACAGCTGTATCACCATCACCTAAAACAGCGCTTGATTCCCGCGGGAGGGCCTGACTTTAGGGTCTCCATAAAAGGAGCCGAGGTTATCTCTCGTCTTCCAGCCCAGCCTGCACCCCAGCCCTTCGGACGCCAGGTCCCCTGTCTTTCGGTCACCGGGTTGCCTTCCCAGGCTCCGAGCTTCTCGCGCTCGGGAGAGCGACCTGGAGGTCCCGCGAACTGCCACGCGGGGCAGAAGCGAGCACGCCGGCGGGGGAAGGGGGGGGGACGCTTGAGCCGCGGAATGTGCGGCGGACCCGGAAGTGCTCGCCCGCCGTTGCGCCCCCTGTGCCCCCGCGCCCCGGATGGGGAAGCAGGCGGGCGTCCGTTCCCACCTGACCGCGCTCCCCTGCGACCCGGCGGGCAGGTGGGTTCCGAGCAATAGTCAGTGTGTCCGGGCTTCCCTCTCGGCTGGCCGCGGGGCGGCGGCGGGCGTCCCGGGGACACCTTTCCGGCACCAGCGCTGTCCCCGACCGGTGGGCCGGCGCTGCCCTTGGGCGCCGCGGATCTGCCGGCCCCGGCGGTGCCCTGGCCGGAGTCCCTGCTGCGGTGAGGGCATCTCAGGGTCCGCTTGTGTGGTGCGGCCACACCTGTCGTGGTCTCCGCGCGACAAGTGAGACCGGGCAGTGAATCCTTCACACAGTTGCTGGCATGCCTGATTCCTAGTTTTCCCAGCGTGACACGCGGGTCACGGTCTCCGATCCCCACAAGATTTTCATCCGTGTAAGTGGGAGTAGGAGTCTTTGGAAGACGGCAACCCCAGTTAAAGGATTAAGGACCCCTCGTTTCCGAGGCCCTGGATTTGGCTAAATGAACCGTAGAGCTCACATTTGTCTTTGGGGCAGTTTGCTGTTGCCTTCAGACCTCTTTAGTAATAGATGACTTGGAACACCCAGTGAAAGCCCTGGGTCCTGTCCCTAGACATTCACATTAAATGGCAGTGACAGGCACGCCATGACAGGGCTTGGGGACACTCCGAACCCAATGACAGGTCTCAGGGGTGTGAACCCTATGTTAAGAGCTGTTTGTTGGGAGGTGCAGGCTTTGGGGTCAGACTTTGCACCTGGCTCCACCCTTTACCGCTGTTAACGTGGGCCAGAGTTTCCTGAGCGATTACAGTCTCAGCCTTTTTATCTAAGTGGGACTATTGCTAATTTGCATGGTTGTAGCAATGAAATGGAAGAAGCTACGTAAGGCACTTTGCTCATCCTGGGCACTCAGTGATGTCTGCTATTATCCAGGGGATGATCGTTTAAAATCTGAAAGGAAGTTTTAAAGTCCCTAATTATAACAGGGCCACCACACATATTTTGCTCAGACTTTTAGTAAAGTGAGTTGGTTGGATTTCAACTCAGCCCTTCCCTTGACCTGCACAAGCTTCATAGGTTCCTTGTCTGTCTTTTTCTAGGAACCTGCCTCTGGGAAGGAACTTGCCTCTTGCAGGCGAGGCCTGCATTGCTGCTTTGAAAGCACCTGGAGGTTGGCACCGTGTCAGCCACAGCACAGCATGGAATTCCCAGAGGGGTCTTCATCCAAAACCTCGTAGAGGACGGGAGCCACCTGAGCTTCAGCGAGGGAGACTGAACAGACCTGAGACCCAGGGCAGGGATGACGCATGCCCAGCCGGTAACTGGCACCACGGAGGCCACGTGGCAGAAGGTCTTGTATGAGCGACAGCCCTTCCCTGACAACTACGTGGACCAGCGCTTCCTGGAAGAGCTCCGCAAGAACATCCACGCCCGGCAGTACCAGTACTGGGCCGTAGTATTTGAGTCCAGTGTGGTGATCCAGCAGCTGTGCTGTGTCTGTGTTTTTGGGGTCATCTGGTGGTACATGGACGAGGGTCTTCTGGCCCCGCATTGGCTGTTTGGGACTGGCCTGGCTTTGTCGCTGATCGGCTACGTTCTGTTTGATCTCGTGGATGGAGGGGAGGGACGGAGGAAGAGCGGGCGGACCCGCTGGGCTGACCTCAAGAGCGCCCTGGTCTTCATCACCTTCACATATGGTTTTTCGCCCGTGCTGAAGACCCTGACGGAGTCTGTCAGCACCGACACCATCTACGCCATGTCTGTCTTCATGCTCTTGGGCCACCTCATCTTCTTCGACTATGGCGCCAATGCTGCCATCGTGTCCAGCACCCTGTCCTTGAACATGGCCATCTTTGCCTCTGTCTGCCTGGCCTCACGCCTGCCCCGGTCCCTGCACGCCTTCATCATGGTGACCTTTGCCATCCAGATCTTTGCCCTGTGGCCCATGCTACAGAAGAAACTGAAGGCGTGCACGCCCCGCAGCTACGTGGGGGTCACGCTGCTCTTTGCGGGCTCCGCCTTTGGGGGCCTGCTGTCCATCAGTGCCGTGGGGGCCACCCTCTTTGCGCTGCTGCTGGTGTCCATCTCCTGCCTCTGCCCTTTCTACCTCATCCGCCTGCAGCTGTTTAAAGAAAATATCCACGGGCCCTGGGACGAGGCTGAGATCAAAGAAGACCTGTCCAGGTTCCTCAGCTAAGTTAGGGACCTCTGTCCCATTACTCAGGCGAGAGGGGAGACCAGCCCTCCAGCCAGCATGCGATCGGAGGCAGAGTTCCATTCTGGACGCAGCAGGCCGGTGCGGACGGGAGAACCAAAGGCTGGGGTGGTGATGGTGCTCATCCTCTCTGTTTGGTGGATGGAAAAGCTCTGGGGCCCACAGGATGTTGGCTTCCCACGTCTTACTCACCATAACAAACAAAATGATGTGGTTTCTATTTATTAAAAACTTAACAACATATCCAGAAAATTGCATCATGATTTTCTGTAAGCAGAAGGCAGATAATAAAAGTGTGCGTGTGCGTGTGTGTGTGTGTGTATGTGTATTAATAAAGCCACTTCTCTACCCTTTTCAGGGACTAATGCAGCCTGTTACTTACCTAGAGCTCAGGTCCTAGGACCCTGGGCGCCATGTCCAGTTTTGCGGCCCAGAACTACAGGATGAGTCACTTGGCCTTGTCTCGGAGTTTCTGCTTTGTTCCCAGTGCAGCATGTTTGGGTCCTAACACACAGGAAAGTGTTGGGGGAATTCAAAGAGGGTGGAGGTCAAGTTGAGCTGGAGTATTAGGAAGTAATTCCTAGGGGAGGTGGTATTTGACGTTAGTCTTGGAGGTTAGGTGAGATTTAAGTGGTCAGAAGGCAGTTTTAGGGCAAGGCGGCTGGGCCTTCTGGAGCCAGGTCAATGAGAGCAGCCAGGGGCTCGTGCAGCAGGCCAGGGGCAACTGGAAAACAAGGGATTGTCCCCTGCACTGGGAAGAGGCTCGTCAGAATTCAGGCCTGGCTTCAGGTCTTTAGAATGCCAAATAAAATTCTAACAGAAATCCCAGTAGCTGACCGTGTCCAAGGTCAAAAGCAGCATGTTTTCTCTGGGCGCCTGATGCTGCCCCGGGGGCGGGGGGGGGTGGGGATCTGAACAGAGCAACGCACGCGCTGGTTCTGTGCGGCAACCCAATTGGTGGCAGGGTGGCGTCTGAATGCTGCCGTCAGTTCTGCAGAGTTTGGAGTGCGCCTCTGGGCAGCTGGCTTCCGTTGTGGATTTAAGAATTCATGCTGAGCGTATTTGAGGAAGCACACAGAGCCATCATTTACACCTTCTAAGCCAAAGGCTCAAGGTCAAGAAAAACAAAAACCAGCCAGCAGAGGGCATCGGTCACACGGTTTTACAAAGGTTCAAACAGGTTGGATGCTGGGAACCGGGCTGGACACAGTGCCACCTTGTGGAAGTTATTGGTATTCCCACTTACGACGAAATTCAAGACGAGTCCCGGGATTGTTGCTGAGCTGTGGTTTGGGAAATAGCCGAGGCCCCCGCCACTTCGGGAAATACACAGCACCCCCCTGGTGTTGGGTAAACAGCTGCCTGATCAGCGCCCAGTGTGAGCCAGATGCTGTGTCGGGCACTTTACTGTCTCCTTGCCTTACTGTCTCCTTTACAGTCTCAGACTTGAGGAGACTGAGGATTATTCCCCCGACGTCTAACAAGGCTTTACTGCCCGCCAAGACCTGTCTCCACTTACTTGGTACCATCCACATTTTGTGTCTGGCCTCAGGAATTAATTGAACAGATACTAAGAACTAACTACATGACATATTATTTATGTGATTGTTATATATCTGTGACTAAAATGAACAAAGGTGCTTTGACCTAGGAGAGCTTACACTCTAGCAGGAGAAGGCAGATGATAGACATTATAGAAGAAGATGATAAACGCAATGGGGAAGAAGCGATGGTTTTAACCAAGGGGGTCAAGGGTAGGTCTCAGGAGAAAGGTAACAAGCAAAGAGTTGGAGCCAGGTTTGGGGGGGGGGGTGACAAAGGAGCTGATACACATGCCCTTAAGAGACGGAAAGGCTAGTGTTTCTTATTGTTATTTTGTAGCTTCCGAAATAGACTGTCATCCTCCGTCACACCCACTTCGGTGACTTCGCACTTACTGTTGCAAGGATCCTGCCATCTCTCTGGCCCCGTGGGCTGGCTGAGGGCTTCCTGCCTGTGCAGGGCCCTCCCCATTCACGAGGGGCCTGGAAGATGAGAACTGGGCTGGAAATCGGGGCCGGACGTAAAGTACTGCAGAACTCGATCTGATGAAAAACAACGGGAGCGGTTTGTAGCCTCCCCCCTCTGACAGCCGCCACCTTGCCAAACTCTACACATTGGCAACATCGTGACTCAGCAGTAACACACAGTGGAAGAACGCAAACAAAAAACGGACGCCGGGAGTGGAGGTGGCTGGAGTGTCCTGTGACTCACTCAGAGACAGACTCTGTCGTATTATCAAAGGCTGATGGAAGCTTTTCTTTTTCAGCACTCTCATCTTCTTGTGGCTGAGGTTCGTGCTTTTGTAGTGGGTTCACAGTCGCAAAGGGTTACTTCAGAATCACAGGGATCGGAGCCAAAGATTCCAGTAACAATTTTCTGAGTTTTTTTTTTTTTAACTAATACTTAATGTTGAGTTATAAAACAGATGTCAGCCAGTACTACATTTTTGGCCAAGTCAGGGATGAGAAGGACACAAGTATATCATGCCCCCAGACCGGTGACGGTGTCACAAATAAACAGCAGAAGGTATTTCCTTATCTCATTGTGGCTCTCACCTTCCCGGACACACAGGCGGCAAACATGAGGCCCACGGGCCGAATCCGGCCCCCTCCCCCTTGTTTTATCTGGCCCGGCACCTTGTTCCTACCTGGCCGCAGCACCGAGCTCCTTGCCCCTAGTTAAGAAGTAGTTACTTGTACACAGTCCTAAAGTTACATTCGGCCCTTTGAAGGCAACCGCGAGGCTGATGTGGCCCCTGGCGAAAATGAGTTTAACACCCTTATGTAGGATGTTTGTTGAAACACCCCTGAGTCAGTCCATGGCACCCAAAGCCCACAGCCATGTATTTACCAGTGACATTCTGTAAGGAAAGGATTGGGAGTATAATTTTTCCCTTACCTTTAGTTTTCTTTTCTCCATCTCTCAGATGCCTTGGGTTTTTCCAGCCGGAGACTGGGGAGCTCTTACCAGTTCCAGTGGAAAGCAGCTGCAGGTGCCGTCTGCCCTGAAAGCTTCTTTGTTGGAAACCAAAGCAAGATGAACGGAGTCCTTCAGTTTTGATACCCACTGGGTCATCTTCTCAGCCCGCACTTTGAGGATTTGGAGTCTGGCATGACGCTATTCCATTAGAAATGCCACGTTTGGTTTCTGATTGGCCAAAATGAGTTCCGCTGCTCCTTTGTCAGAGCATGTTCTAGAACATGAGCACGCATTGGGCGAAGTGGGTAACCTGGCTTCAGAGCGCAGGTAGCTTCTGTAGCACTGAAATCAGTAAGAGCTGTCCCTGGAAAAGTGAACAAACTGTTCCTATCCAAGCAAATGCTTATTTGCTGGGTGAGCTGCTTTGACCTTGTCACTTCTCTGGTGGAGGGGGGCAGTCACTAGGACATTATCATGCATTCAAGGCAGGTTTGACGCAGAAAGGACGAGAAATATTTTTTATTTTTTAATATTTTTATATATCGACTCTTAGGAAGAGACAGAGAGAAAAAGAGAGAGAGAGAGAGAGATTTGTTGTCCTGCTTATTGATTCCTTTATTGGTTGATTCTTGCACGCGCCCTGACTGGAGAGCAAACACCCAACCTTGGCACAGCGGCCTGACGCTAGAACCGACTGAGCCACCCAGCCAGGGCGAGAAAGGTTCTGTATTACAGGTGTAACGGTTTGTTCTTCCTGATGATCCGAGTCATCGCCAACACTGAGGAACGCTGTGCTTTTTAAACTCTCGAATGTCGAGGGAGGCGGTAGGGACAGGGGCCTTGGGGAGGGGACGTCATGAAACTCAGAAACATTAGGAACAGTAGGCACATATGAACCGACCTGGGCATGAGTCACCTTGACTCCAGGCTGCTCCCTCCGCACCTCTCACCTGCCCGAGGTGAGGGAGGGACCACCCCTCCTGTTGAGCTGCATGCGGCTGCCCGGGAAGTGGTTCACTCTGCTACGACTCCAGCTGTCCTTTCTCCTTGTTCATCGGGTCAACTGGAGTTCCAAAGTCCTTTAAATTGCGTCTCGTTGTATATAAAAGCAAGTTCATGTTGAAGGTGAAGTGGCAGAGTACCAAACACCTAAAAAAAGGGTGAATTGGTGAACACCTTCCTGTTGAGAACTTCCGTTTTGGTTTGGGGAGGGGGTGAGAGGTCACGCAGGAACACTATGTCTCTGGTGGCACGAACGTGCTCAGGTGGGAATCCCATCCAATGAGGACATGAATGACAGGATCGGCCACCTGGGCCGCAGGTGAGGGGGGCAGAGGGCTGCGCGCTGTGCCTGTTCTGCATCAGCCCCACAGCTCCGAGTAGATTTGAACTTCAGTTCGTGGCCCCCTGCTGGGCGCCCTTGACTTTTCTTTGTTACCAGTGCTTCTGACTCACAGTCACTGGGCCTGGGGTAACAGGTAAAAACTGGTCTTTTGTGTCACGTGCAAATGTTAACCTGAGAAATGCACTGGTTTTGCATGTTTGAGTGGAGTGTGCAGGCCTTAAAAAAGGCTTTTAGGGCCCAGAGACAGCCCTGTTAAGGAGCGGGGAGTGCCCACTTCTGTTGGAGGTCCCCGCCCATGAGTCCACCGGGACTCCCTGCCCAGGGCTCCCCTCGGGTGGTCACGGAGGGAGCGCAGCACTGACTTCTGATGAAAGACTCCGGTTTTCACCTTCCTGCCCTGCGGGTTTTTACCTCAATGAGCCGAAGGGAGGCGCACTCGGCACAGGTCTCACCCAGTAGGTGACACTGTCAACTTGTAACTTAGACTACATAGGTCTTCGAAAAGGAAATTTCGAGTTAACTCTCAAACCTTTGGGAAGGGCTCTCAGATCACAGGTTTGGCAGCGTGTGGTATATTACCTTAATAATAAACATTTTATTTGGACAAATCTTTGGGTGTTTTTTTTTTTTAAATGATCGCTTAAACTTTCAGTGATGCAATTAGCCCTGGAGGGTTAAGGTATAAAAAACTCTATTTCCTCCAAAACTCACAGAGATTGCATCCTTCCGCTACTGGACTTACATCATTCAGAAGCTTTCCTCCCCATGGCCTCGCCTGGTACTTTTATTCTGAATGGTATTTTCCCCCCTAAATTTGCCAAAACACAATGTGTGAGGTTTATGCGTTCAGGACTGATCAGTTCTTCCATGATCTCACAGATTTTACCTTGCACAGGAGCCTTTAGAAAAATATTAAAAACAGCAAAACTTCTTGTGCGATAATAATTATTAGTCGGCTGAGGCAGGTGGAAATTAATCAGTTTTCTTTTCTTGACTCCCAGAATTTTTACTGTGACTTTTTACCTTTTGGACAGACATTTCAAATCAAAGACAGATTATTATTCACACCAAATAGCATCTTAAATCATAATGCTTTGAGAACTTAAAATTCTTCTTCCTTTTTTTTTCAATTGAAGCTCCTTCAAAGATCAAGTTATATATTTTTTTCACCTGGTTTGAGAGGCAAAGAACTTTTTTAAAAATTTGGGTCTTCTTTGGAAAAAAAATAAACAGAAAGCATTTTGATGGTTTCATATACAGAATAAACTTTGTTTTTATTATGGACGTGGATCAAAAATAAAAGCTTTTATGTACACAGACAGACAGTACACAGGAAAGGCTGTTCAACACCACGGATGGAAAAGCTGCGGCAAAGGAAAGGAGGCGGACGGTGAGGGTTAGGATGGCCGTCCGGGAGTGGCAGGAGGGGATCACCTGGGGGAACAAAACAGACAAAAATAACAGAACGAAACACACAGAGGCCAGGGAAGGAGACAATGCTCAAATTATTCTAACACAAATCCAAACAAGAGCATGCAAAATTATCCCATGAAAACCACACTCAAATCAGACCCAAAAAGCATGCAGACAATGAGGGGACTCAGGGGACATTGGGTGGCAGTCAGCTGTTCCCCGGGGTGTCGGGAGGGTGCAGGGTACGAGCCACCGGAGCCCAGGGGTGAGGAGACCACACGGCCACATTCGGGAGGCCCGGGCACCAGAGACGAATCCCTTTACCACCCGAGGGTTCGCTTCCCAGCAATGACGATGGGACATTTGGTCATTTCCCAAGATTTCGATGAATACTGTGAAATCTCTAGGGGGGGGAGAGGGAGTTGATGTAGGAATATGACAGGTGAGATTTTTTCAAGATGCGGGAAGTAAGAAGGTGTATAGAGATCATCAAATCCGCTACGTAATCACAGTGCAGACAGTGTCAGGATTGCTGACGATTTGTAAGCAAGAATTTGCCCCAGGTGAATATGCCCGGATGCGCTAGCCTTCCCCGGGCCAGGGAGACGAGCAGGGGAGACCGGGTCCCTGGTGAGCCCGGGGTTCGGTAGGATTTCCCTCTGTCTCAGAGCGGGTGCCCCTGAACGTCTGACGGGCCCTGACCTGGGCTCTCTCTCCCTGCCCCTGGTCTGGCTTGCATGTCGTCACCCACAGGATGCGGGATAAGGGTCCTCCGTTTCGACATCAGCCTCCCTGGACGTTTCGCTGCCGGAGCCCAGACCCAGTAATCGCCCCAGAGCCGAGCACAGCTCTGTGTGCCGCTCGGTCGAGGGCAGTGTCCCGCCTGGTTCCCAGCAGGGTCTACGGGTTTCCCTTTTCTACCAAACGGGGGACAAACTCGACGCGACTGCGAGCCACCGGCCTGTGCCCCACTCTCCGAGGGACTTCTTGGGGGCCCCTCATCTACGGGCCCAACGACATACTCACTTCGGTCTTACTCTGGTAACACGTCAGTGAGTAGAGCAATGGGGTCTACAAAAAAAACAAACACAAAAACAAACTTCTTTTTTACCTTTTCCGAGACGTTAACGGGACCAAACTGATGGGGCTATTTCTGCGCCTTGTTAAAAAACAAAACAAAAACAAACACAAAAAAAACAAATGATGTTACCTTCGCCCAAGTCCACCACCCATTTTTCTTTGGTCCAGTTTAAACTGGCTACAGTTGGGAGCCCTCCCATCCACAGAAATGATAAAGAACTTGCTCTTGGGCCCTAACCTTTCAACTGTGGGGTCGCAGGGCGGGCAGGGGGGCCTGCAAGCCTTTAGCTGTTGAGGCCCAGGTAATGGGTGTCCCTGAGGTTTTCCCGAAGAAAGTGTAATTAAATTCCAGTCAAGCTCCAGGAGATTTATCACCTGCCCAGCAGACACAAGCTAGTTTGGAGTTTGGAAGGGGCAGTGGCGCCTTCAATGGCCTTGGCGGGGCTGTGGACGTGAGTCATGGCATGGAGCGGTGTGTCCTGCACGCTGAAGGGCCGTCCTGGGTGAGCCGGCTTGGTCTTCCAGTGCGGACTCAGGGCCCAAAACGCTGGGTCTCAGAACGCGTGGCACCCACGGTGTTTGCTTCCAGCCTTAGGACGCAGCCTGTCCCCCAGACAATGGCCCGTCCCCCTTCCCCGAACCTCTAAGTCTCCTTCTGGCGCCGGAAAGGCGTCACTGACGGCTCGGGGTCTGCGCTGTCAGGATCTCAGCAGTTCAGGCTTTGCTATGTCTTTCCGGAATTTTCTGTACTGCTTACATCATGCTGAAGTGCTTGAAGGCAAGTCCTGGAAGTATTCTGACCTTTTATACGAAAGGTTTCAAAGGTGCCTGATGCTGTTGCTGCCTCCAACACAGAGGTCGGAGTGCCCAGCGCCGCTCGGAGTTGCTGACAAACTTCAAAGCCCAGCGTGGCAGTGTTCACTGTACTAGCAAATCTACCCAATCGAGGGGACAATTTTAGGTTACACCTTCTTTTTTATAAAAAGATATTTTTAAATTTTTATTTATTGATTTTTTTGAGAGAGAGGGAGAAATACTGATTCGTTGTTCCACCTATTGATGCGTCGGCTGATTCTTGTATGTGCCCTGATTGGGGATCAAACCCACTACCTTGGTGTACCAGGATGCTGCTCTAACCCACTGAGCTACCTGGCCATGTTACGCCTTCCTAAGCTTTCTGGAAAATAACTTCAGCCAGAATAGAAAGGAGAGGAGACAGGAAAAGCTGTGTGTGGAGCGTGGGCATATCTCATACAGAGAAGACTCCAATATGAGCGAGAATGACGAGCGACCCTCAACCTCCTGAACCTACCTCCGTGCTGCAATCTGGCCTTATGGTGACGATGCACCGGCAAGACCCTTGGGAAGGTCTTTCTTTGAGCCTTTTCTTTTTCGGCCACAATCTCCCCAAACCCCTCTGCTTGCATTCTCTGCCCGCCGTTCAGGGAACTAAGATCCCAGAGCAGCGGCCGAGCCTGCAGCCCTGGGAACTTGCAACAGGAAAGGCTGCCTGAGTAAGCATCCTTCTGAACGCTCCTTGGATGCCCTTTAGCTCAAAATCGGCCTGGATTCCTTCCTTTGCAAGAGGAAAATGGGGGCCAGGGAATCAACAGGGGCTCTTTTTTGGAGAGTGAGAGGGAAAAGGCGTTATGGAAAATTGCCTGCGTCCTCCGACAAGGCTCAGTGAGGCTCGCTGCCTGTTGCTCTCTCAGCTGTGTCCTGCCTCCTGTTCCACGTGACTTCCCTGCTTGGGGTCCAGATGCTTCCGCCACAAAGCAGCAGGGATCCAGGACTGTCCTGGCTGCTTTCACAGCTGGCAGGCTCTGCAGGGATGGTCACCCCCAATGCCTTCTCCCTGTGGACTAAAGCCACCGAGGCAGTGTGTGCCCGCACAGGGGGCACCTGTCCTGTGAGATGCTCTGTGAACAAGGCATCGACGGCCAAGTGGGTCTGAGAAAGGAGGAGACCCCAACCCTCTCTTGGGGGTTCACCACAGGCTGATGTTTGAGCTCCTGTATGGTCTCCCAGTGAAAGAAATTCATTTGTAGTTATCCTTTCTTAGGTACGTTGAACCAAGACACCTTGGTGTGTGTAAGCCTTGTTCAAACCTCATGGAGTGCACTCGGGGGAACATGCCTCCCGCGTGTATTCCTGTGACTAGGCAGCCACAGCGTGACAGGGCACCAACGCATAGTCTTCGCCGTGACCGTGGCAGGTGTGTGCTGCGCCGGGGGAGAAGGGCGGCGGCCACGGCCCACGTGTTCCTCAGCGTGGCATGCAGAGGTCCCAGCAGAAAAACAAGAATCTTAGAGACGAATGGAGCAGCTACGTACACGGGCGCCAGTGCTATTTTTAAAAACGCAAACGAACATTGGCCACACAGGCACGATAAGGCCGTTGGCTTTGGTGATTAGAAACTATTCTGAATATAGACTCGCACACCCTACCTCCCAACCGCCCCCCGCCCATGTACGGTCCCCACCATCCCCACCCAGGAAACACCCCCCATCTCCTACCTTTGACGGTTCCCATTTGCTCCCTTCAAAAGTCTCATTCTTCCCCCAAATTAATGACAGTAACGCCCAATGTTTTCAATTTCCATGTCGGTCATTCTGGACCAATTTGATCACAAGAGTTATAAATATTTAGAAGTCTCGTAACTTTACTGATATGCATAGAAATGACTCGGATACATAACAAAACATGCGGAAGGGGGAGTCCTTCAAAGGTTATCATTTATTTCAGGTTCAGAAATACAGCTTCACATTTTCACAACAGGTACATGTGACCTTCGAGAATGATACAAGCTTTAGGACCTGGTTTCAAAAATTCCATTTACAGGGTCCCATCCATCAACCAGCCTTAAGAAACCGCAAAGTGCCAAGAATACACTGGAAAGAATTCTCGCTCAGATTAACCAGAGATTCCACAGAGAAGACAAGACTTTGCTTCTGTACACTGCTTCTTCATAAAAAGGCAAAGGAAGAAATGGGAATAAAAAAGGGAGTGAACAGTACAGACTCGTGAGCAAAACCCGGGCTGTACACGGGACATCACACACAAATCGAGTAACGGTGCACTTCTGGTTGGGAGGAGCGCGTCTCGTCCAACTGGCAGCAGACGGTGCACGAGGGCAGACAGAGATACTGTCATCATAATTTAAAGAACGTTACACAGAGCAAAGTTTGAGGAATTCAAGGGTAAAAAATGAAAGAAGTGAAAGCCTTCACCTGAGCAACCCAGCTCAGAGAGGCGGGAAGTCCCACCAACACCCCAGTGTGAACAGGTCTTAAGACACAGGAGAGACTGTCCTTGAACTTCCCGTCTCCTGGTCTCACACGCGTGCACGTTCTTGCACAAATACACCAACAGAAGAGCTTATATTACATAGTTTCAACATACTCTTCAAGGCTGTGATACAGAGCGCCCAGCATTTTAAACACAGCAACTAGACGGAATGGCTTAAGACAATCTAACACATTGGAGCCTTTAAGGAAGGACCGGGTGATGGAGTGAACCAATAATCATTTCTGGGAAATCGGCTGGATGCGCTCACATCACCCTGAGCTCACAGCTATCAGTCCTCTTGGTGAAATGACAGAGAAGTCACAGCTCCAGCCTCCCACGGTATCTTCTTCCACTGAGTTCCATTAATAGAGACCTACTATGTAGAGTTCATTCTCAAGGTTAAGGAGATTCCTGTCCATTCCAAATGATTACATTGTTGTCCAAGTAAAAAATGTTCGCCTGACAAAGAGGACCGATGACCCACCTCCGAGGTGTTACGAAACTCCTCCCCTGCATCTCTAGCCCATTTGCTCGGGAGGATCCACTTCATTTGTTACATCGCTGTAGCCCTGTCCTTTATATATTTTAAACAATTACTGTAGAGAAAAGATGACTGGGTAGACCAAATCTGGCTTTTTAAGATTCGGCTCAACAATCTAAGGACAATTAGAGACCCACAGTGCAGGTTTTCGGATCTCACACTTTTGACTGAACTCCATCGGAAAGGTTGTCTTTCCACTTTAGACAGCGGACTTAGACACAAATGCCCGTGCCTGTCATTCCACCAGGTTGTCATGGTAATTCTTATCTTGGCGCCTCTCAGAACAAATAGAATCTGGAGAAGCTTTTGGATACCTCAGGTACCCTGAGGCTTGAAGCACTATTCCCATGCATTATAGCAGGCTTTCCAGAGCTACCTCTTGTGCTGGCGCAGCTTAAAAAACAGATCCACACCCACACATACAGAGCACACGGACACATAAATATTTACATCCCTCCACATACGTGTATGCACAGTGCACACACGATCACACTCATGCTTGTGGCATTTTAACAAGCGCTTTTAGACCTATCTGCCCCAGGGGCACAAAATGCACAAACTTTACAGAAACAAACACACTATGTGTACACTGTTCTACATGAAGACACATGCATAGAAAATGTGTTTGTACACGGAAAACATCAACAGGTACCACATACTGGTATTAGGTCCCACTTCATTCTGGAGAACTATGGTCGACGCTACACTATAAAGTCATAAAATTAATCTACATGACTACTTTTTAACCCTAAATTCAGGAGGCTTATAGTTATATCACAGAAACTGGTTCCGTTACGGCCAGTTTTGGAATGGGTGAGTTTGTATCGGACACCTAGGCCGTTCACTAATAAACAGACCCCACTGCTCTGCTATGTTACAAGGACACAGCTAAAAGCGATGTTCAGGAGAGTCATTTGGGCAGATGACTTCTGGGAATGCAATAGAGCTGTTCTACGTTAACATTATTTCAATAATCTGTCCACAGCTGAGTACATGGGTATTCCAATGAATCAATAAGCATGCAAGATTTAGCTTGTGGCATTAAAATAGATGTACCTAGCAAACAGACGGCGTATTTTTCCAAATCCCGAAACACTGTAAGTTTTATTTTGCTACACTAGGCACGACAGACCTCAGTGTATCATGTAGGCCACAGCGGGGACAGGAGGAAGCTACGCAAGGCGTGAAGTGGAACGGGAAACACTCAGGAAGCTCACTAAGCTCCTTCCTGCCCGAAGGCCTGATGGAAGTACTGCCCTTCCATTCCCAGCTCCATTCACATCGACACCAATGTCTCCCCTTAGCGGGTGCGAACCCGCTGGGAAGTGGGGTCAGCGCTCATCACGGGACATCGCACTGCGGCAAACTGAACATGTTCTCCACCATGCCGGCTGGAGTTCCAGGGGTGGGGGCTGGGGCCCGTCAGAAACGACGCAGACGTGAACTAGGAGGAAAAGGTGCCCACAGGAGAGGCAGTCGGGACAGTGACACTGTGGGATTAAAATCTGAGAGCAGCGGCCGCCGAAGCCAAGTGCCATTGTTTACAACAGCGTAAGATCCGGGGAAGGAACTTGGGAGGAGAATCTCCAGTTTTCTTTGACCCGGTTTGTGCTGCACTAAGATCTCGGCTGTGGTTGTCCACAATATTTTCCTTGAACAGAAGGGCATTTTTGAAATACAGCAAAGCGCAAACCACACACAGCCCAAGGCCAAACCCTGGAGCATACACTCCATGAGCTGCCTCTTTCGGGAAATTCAAAGGAAGAAGCAAAGGGAATCCTTCAGAGAGGGAATTTTATGAAAAGATCTCACTCTAGATTATTTCACTCTGGATGTTTACTTAACATATTTCCATTTAGCTGTGACACTATTTTTAAAGTATAGTATATTTCTTGCTCATCTGCTCCCTTCACCAAGTTAATTTCTTCCCAATAGAAAGAAAAATGAGATATGAGATTTAGGATGGCGATCTTTATACAATCTCTGTAACTTAAGAGTTGAAATGCCCTTTTTAATGAATCTTGAACTCTCTGGGTTTTTGCCTAAGTGGGCTAGCTGTAACCCTTTAGAGTAAGTTCAGAACAACGCTGTTCAGCTCCGCGAGCTCTCTTTTTAATAATGGCTGGAAGTTTTTACTCCATAGTTTATGGGTGTCTGCTTTGGGTATAAACTACACAGGAAATTAAAGTGACGTGAACATACAAATCACGTTTGCTGCTTTCAAAGGGAGACGTTTCAGTTGGCGAAACCTGATTTACTTCTGCGGAGTATGAAATAGTGTCGCGGGTCCCGTCTGGGAACAGTTAGCCGAGCAGATTCCAGTTGGCTCTGGCAGGTCTCCTGTGCACTAATCATCCGGCCCTGGGTTATCCAAAACTCAGCCTCAAGGCTGAACGATTCACCCCCCAGGCTAAAGGGCTCTTGTAAATTTCAGAAATGTTAGAATTTGCCAATTTGCTTTGGGTCTCTGTGTCTTAATACCGTTCTCTGGAATGACCTGGATGGAGACTCTGAAGTTGCATAACTATAAAAGTTGTGAACTCTGCTCTTAAACAAAACGACTTTTCTTTTCATTCCGGGTCCCTGTTCTTTAAATAGGGTTACCCCACAGGAAGGCTCTCAGTTTATTAAGAAAGCCTAGAATAGACAGAAAGTTACTTCGAGCCTGTTTTAAAGGTAGGCTACATGCTTACATATGAGAATTATGTGTTAGAGAAAGAGAGGAATAGTTCTGCCCCAACCAACCAACATAAACAAATAAACCGGAGTTCGTATCAAAGCGCAGTCAGCCATGCCTGAAATTAGGGAGCATCTGAAAAAAATAAATGTTTTCCACGTCAGCCTTCACTGTAACCTGTGAAGAGGTGATTATATAAATGAATGAAGAAATTACATTTTCCAGATACTTCTAGAGACGTGATGTTTTGCTTCTTCCTGAATTCTCAAATTAACCAGTCAGATCTGCTGGATGACCACAGAAGAGACAAAGTCTGACATGTTGTTGAATGAGCTTCTAGCATGAAACGAAACTCACTGGCCTGAGGGGCAGCCTCTAGAACAAGCAACGCATTCACTTTTCCTTTGCAAACTACCTTGCGCTTCTGGAAAAAGCTTTCTTCTTAAGAAACCCTGATTTAAAAAAATTTACTTCCTAGCAGTCTTATAAAATAAAAAGGAAGGAAAGAATATAAACAGGTAATTATGGAGTAGACAGAAACCTTAATAATAAATAATACCTTTTCTGTCAACCAAAACAGAACGTGGGAAAATAAATACGTATGGCTTAGGTTTGAGCCCAGCATCTGAGATCTTGTAAGAATTATATTCAGTGGGCTCTCTGGAAGGTAACCTGGGAAACTTGTCCAGTGCGATTTCAAATGTAATCCCAGGGCAGGCACACGGTCCCCAAAGTGTCGGGCTGCCCCACGAACCTACCTGGGTCGTCGGCACAACACAGAAAGCCTCGCGGACTGAGCAGTTCTCAAGAGTCGACACCCCCAGAGGGCGGAGGTACCATGAGCAATGCAGGTGAGTGACGGGTGAGTTAGTACAACGGTTACTTGCCTATGGATGTCCACACACGAGACTACTCATGATTTACCACGACGGCTATCAAATGCGTGGTGTTCGCATGGTTCGTTAGTAACGAGCTGCCAGGCCAGACACTTCCTTTAGTCTAACAGAGAGGATTCTAGCGGGCGGATTATAGTGGGACGAGTTGGTGATGGGGGTGGTCTCCGGCTAGAAAGACAGAAAGAGAGAGGTCAAGAGGCAGGTGGAATACCGAGCAGCAGGTGGTCCCCAAGACACAGAGAGAGAGACATCACCCCGCATGCTTCATGCAGACAGGCCAGCAGGACAGGTTGCCACCTGCAACAATTCCACCACTGTTCTCTTTCATTCACCCAGCATTTCTAAAAACAGAAATGAGTGCTCTTCTCATATGCAGATCGTTCCGAATATGGAAGTCACGCCTCCCAATACTAACACAGATACGAAATTATTGAAAAGTCATCTGAAATGCACTCCACATTTCTCAGCCAATACGGTACGATCCCTTGCAGTTAAATATACTGGGGAACTAATCAGGCATTCTCCAGGAAGCAATAAGGGGCCTCCGAGAAGGAGGGGTTTTGAATTTTTATTTCCCTTTATGTGATAATAATCTTCCCCTTTTCCTCCTGTCAGGATATTCGTGATCACTTCTCACTGACTTTGGCGGTAGCTTTCTCCACTTTGTTCTGTACCTACTTACAGTTTGCGGAGTACTGGGAAGTCAAGGGTTTGGGGATTCTCTACACTATGTGTAAATAGGGTCAGGGTGAGTACCTGACCGCTGCTGAGTATCTAAGTACCTGAGTACCTGAGGATCTGCTGCACAGCCTCTTGTTCCCATTTTGGGTCCTACAAGTTTTATTGGTATGCTCATGATTTTTACATGATTTTGCTCCTTTTCTGGTTGGTAATGGTGTTTCTGATAGCTGAGGCTGCTGAATAAACAAACTCAGGGTAATGCAATATTCTTGGGCCTGAAGATCTCAACTTTAGCAAGTGATACTCTTCACTTCCTGAACCTCCACATTTATTTCCTAAATGCATTCGTAAGTTTTTGTGTGTAGCTTCTTGACTTCATATCTTGGGGTGATACTATGGTGGGGAGTGACTTTTACAACCAACAAAATTCAACAAATTCTACAAATGAAAACCTTTCTTCTTGATAAATCTCTCCCATTGAACTTTTTCAGGAAGACCCCTTCTGGGATGACTTGGAATTTTCTCCTGAATGGAAACACTAAACTGATCGAATCAAATGTCCTTTCTTACATACAAAGAAGAGAAGTTAGAAAAGTTAAAGAAAACAATCAGGACATGTTAAAAAAATCACAAAGCTATAAAATAAAATGAGAGCTCAAGGGCAAAACTGAAGCAAAAGAGATACTGTTGCCTCCTGGTAGACACACCAGCCCCTTAGGCATAAACCCATGGATATCAGCAGAGTTCCTTTTGCCTCCTGCACCGAAAAAACGTCTAAGTGGATAGAGACAGGTCTCCTCTGAAAAGTGGATTCCAACTTAACGTCTTACACTAGTCTTATTACTTACTACACAAGTACTCAATTTTCGAATGTGTAATGGGGGTATTTTTAAAGGCACAGGAGCAAAGCTAAACCAATCAATACTAGCTGTTTAACTGGCGTAAACAAGTTAGTCATCTTCCTGCAGAAAGGCTACGGTGACCATCTGAGATGTTTTAGCCACTCCCTGCTGGGAAAAATCCTCCCATAATCCCCCCTTTTACTTATGATGCTGCCAAACTCACCTGCTCTTTTCCTAGCACAGTACTCCTTTTCATTGAAAAGGGCCGTATTTGTTTAATGAATGTCCTGCATCTCCCTCCTGCACAACCCATCTCGGTGAAGCCTTCTCTGACCTCCCTCCCCCATCTTTGCACGTGGCTTCTCTCGAATATCCACAGGACCCGGAATCGCAGTGGATTCTCCTCAGTTGTAGGTTTCTCTCCCCCAGTGAGAAATGGGTTGTGTCTTACTCATCTTCATTTTCCTGCCGTGTCTATCTTAGTGATTTCATTCAGCCACAGAGTGTTTGACACCTGAGTAAGCAGACGTTTCTCCTAGGGTAGGAAACAATGGGTAGGCAGATCCCATTGTGATATCCGTCAATCTTTCCATGAAATAAAAGTATCTGTTAGTAAATGACGCTATAGAGAAACCACCAACCAACTAAACAAAAAGTTACAGTGATGTATAGAATTTAGACCCTTGAGAGCTCTGCCTATAAAGTATTTGCTCAATTCTTTAGCAGATGCTTGAAATAAAAGTAAATAATAGGCTCCCTCTCCTCACAGAGTTTAACAGTCACATAACACACAGAGATGTAGTCTTACCAACTAAGCAGTTACCAGAGGGGAGAGTAGGTGGTGGCAAGGGAACAGGCCAGAATTTGAACTTAAAGAAGGGAACCTGTGCTAGAAGACTCTGTCATGGGTTAGACTCAATTAGGGAGTTTTATGGGAAAAACAGTGGATCTTAAACGATAAACTCGGTGACGAGCATGGCATGATGGATTGGAAGTTGTTCTGTGCACAGGTGAGAGACTGGACCGAGGACGGCAGCCCAAGAGAGGAAGGAATGCAAACCAGGTTCTTTTCTGATCCTTTTGTTCTCGGCTCCGATGTCTTTCCTCGGCTCTTTCTGACCCCCCCCCCCCAAGGACTTCATGGTGTCCGTGTACTAATTAACCCTGTTTCTAATTATGCATTCATTTTCTAGGGTAGTGCCTGCGTCTCCCCACTAGATTCCTTGAGAGCAGAGACCACATATTCTACATTTGTCACAGGTCCTTGGCATTTAGTGTGACGTGATTAGAAGGCAGTGAATAAACATTCAGTAAATAATGGACAGACGAATGTACGAGAAGTGCCCGAACAGAGGTAGTTAGCCAGGTAGTAGAGGCCACGTCAAGATGAGTAGAAGTTGGAGGAGCCCAGGCATGTAACACCTGGAGGCATTGGTTAGAGGCTTATATTGGAGGCATCACGTTTGTGCAGAAAGCATCCTGACTCAGAAGTCAGAAGACGTGGACGCCAGTTCCAACTGCCAGCTTGTAAAATTATTAGCCCACTGAGCCCGTCCACGCCTCAGTTGCCTCATATATGGCACAGGAGGCTCAGACTAGAGAACCAATAAGGTGCCTTCCAGTTATGCATCGCCTTCACTACTTATTGTGCACCTACTATGTGCACTGCATTGTGCTGCGTGGTTTTTAAGGACTCCGACTCTGTTCTAGAGGCAGACAGGTGAGATGCAACAACGGGCAAGGAGTTTTATTAGAACACCCCATTTTGAGTGGAAAAAAATAGGGCAAATTTTCATAATTCAAACTGAGACTAGGTTCTGGGGGCCTGAAAATGCCCTAAAGCGGTCAAAGCAGGGGAACACGGGATTTTAACAGCAGCATATAAAACTTCAAAGTCGTTGAGGAAACACAGATCCATCATGAGGTTAGAGAAACCAGAAATTAAGTGACGAGGAGTGAAGGAAAGGATTGGATGCTGGCCGTAGAGACTAGAAAGATTTCAGTACTCTGATGGCCCCGTAACTTCTCTGCCCCAACCCTCAGTCGATGCCGAGGAGACAAGAGAAAAACGGCCAAAATGGGCCGTTGAAGGAGGAAGTGTAGGCCTGGGACCAGGGGACACGGCCTTTGTCTGTTGTTCACCACCCTGTCCTAGGACCGAGCATGGTCTTTGGCTCATGGTTTTTGTGTTTTTTTCTGAAATAAATAAATCAGAGAACTTATCCATTATGAGTACAAGGGAGTCCCTAGGGCCTTCCATTGAATATGCACAGCAGACCTGGGTGGTGATTTAATGATTGAAAGAATGAAAGACGAAATCTCCACTAAAATAATTATGACATCTTTAAAATATGCTCACTTGCAGGTTAAAGGAACTCCCATCTATGTACTTGGTAATAAAAAAAATCCCACAGAGCCCCTAACCCTTCTGGAAGAAATGAGCATCCCTTCATTTCTAAAACAATTAGCCCCCAATAATCTCTATATACAACCCCTCCAGAAAGCAGTTCAGGAGGTGCACGAAGTTGCTTGGCATGAACTCTCTTAAGTAATGCTAAGACGTGGGCCAGCTTCGACGCCAGAAAAAAAGTTCAAGGTTTACTGTTAAGGTTCATTTCATTGGTCCAGTTCTGAGCCATTCAAAAAGTTTCCAAAGACATTCACCTCGGGAGACAGTTTGTTTTGGGCCAAGCGAAGCAGTCTGTTTTGTACCAAGTTTTCCTCGGCTGCTTTGTTTAGCAACGGGCTTCGTTAAGTAACCCCTCCTATTGCAACGCGGCAGCTTGCCTCACTTAGTGTTTATTGAAACAGTGTTGTGTGTGGGCGGTGTGTGGTTACCATTTCTGCTTCCAAAGCAAAGGGAAAGATACTCGGAATGCCCGAAGTCGTGTTAGTAGCTGCAGGGGTGGGCCGTTCACAGTGTTTTGGATGAGGACGACTTTTGTAAGAGAGTCAAATGCGCGCCCAGGGCGGGCGGCACGGCGGGGCAGAACTGGCCTCGCTGATAGAAGAGAAGAAGGCAAGAGGGCTGTCGGCGTCTCCTGTGATTCTCTCCCAAGAATGAAGGCCTGAAGTTTCATCTGCTCGCCCTGGGTGCGCTGGTTCTGAGTATTCACGGCGTGAGGCCGGCCTTGGCATGAGTTGGGGGCGGGTTTGGTAGGGCAAGTTGCTGAGCCTGGAGCCCCCTTCGCGGAAATAGCTGGGCCCTTCTGCCCTGCCCCCATCCCTCCTCGGATGGTAAGTGCGGGTTATCGCAGTGGGAAGCGTGCGAGCCAAACTGGGCCTAGGGAGCCCAGGGTCCCCCCCTTCCTACGCTGAAGCCCACCTCTCCCTACCGCAGTCCAGGACTCTGTCTGCTGAGCAGTTACCCGGGCCCGTTCCGATCAGCGGTCCTCCAACTGGACGCCGCGTCTGAGTTCCCTCGGACATGGGGCACGTGAGAACGCGGGGCTCTGCGTCCCACGCGGGGCTCCAATGGGGTGAGACGTTCACAGCGTGTTTCCAGATGATGCTGACGCGGCCGGTCCTGGGGCTGGACTCTGAAAAACCGCTCTTCCAATTTAATTTTGATATAACTTGACAACTCAATTCACTTATCAGGTAATGTAAGAGCAATGAAAGGAAGTTGGGGGGCTGGGACTTAAG